GCTTACATAGCGAAATTGCCTATCACATCTGTGTTGAATGTGTCACTTCATGAGGAAGGAGAAGGTTGTAACCAGGTAAAATTTTGTTTTAGTCCAGCATTCCTTTTCAGCTAATTTGGATTCCGATTCGTATGATGTACTTCTGATGGTCATAGAAGTTCTTTGTGATTTCTGAAATTTATGTGGATTATATCAATATTGTCAAAGTCAATTTTGTAGCCGGATTTTTTGGTGTGTAGACTTACGGTTGATGATTTTTTTCTAGCTCAGCTGGATTTCTTAGTGGTCAAACAGATGATCTACAGTGTTAATTTCTCGTGATTTTGAATTCTCGAGATGTTCGTCTGCTATATATTGCATCACACTCCAAGCATTTTATTCTATAGACACAATTAGATAGAGAATCGTTAGGGAATTGGTGTTTTCTATGGGCAAGGTTGTTTCGCAGTGTAATTGATGTTTTGAAAAATCTCTGATGTCTGGCTCATTGAGTACTCGCTTTTTATCGTCTGACGCCTCCGCTCTATTTGGAATGACAACTGTTGAGGTTCATGTTTTCGGGACACGTTTACGACCATACCTAATGTCAGTGTTGATTTTGTTGATGAAGTTGTTTGGGTAGTTGTTTCGTCTGAGAGTCTCAATAATGTTTGATATTCCTACTTCCTTTTCTTTCTCACCCGTTATCAGCGAGTGTGCTCGTCTATAAATACTTGAAACAACTGATACCTTTGCGCTGATGGGATGTGATGATCCGAAGTCTAAATATTTTTTGTAGTGGGGTTTCTTCATGAATACAGATATAGCAAAATGTCCGCTTTCCCTCCTCTTAACTAGGCAGTCTAGAAATGGTAGTTCACCGACGTCTGATTCTGCATCTGAAATAAACTGGATTCTGGGAGATATATTGTTTATTTTCTCAATGAATGAACTGTGTACATCTCGTTGTAGCACTACAAAAGTATCAATTACATATCTTAAACATATTTTAGGAGTGAGTATGCTTGAAAAGATGTTATCTTCGAATGTATTCACGGAAAGGTCAGCGACTAGAGCAACACCATTTGTCTTTCTATATAAATTCTCTTTAAATGTAAAGTAATTACTTTCTAGACAGAAAGAATTCTAAGGTCTTAATAATTTCACTTATGTCCAGTTGACATCTCTGTGATAGCGCTGTATCTGATTCTAGTAGACTGGAAATGATATCGAAACTTTCTTTAAAAGGGATACTAGTATAAAATGAGTTAATTTCATAGCTCACCATAATGTCTTTATCAATTTTTTTGCGTTCTATTTGGGATTTGGAATCATATGAATTCTTTACAAATTTTGATTGTCCTTTCGCAGTGTTTGTTGTTTGGAAAATAAGTATTTGGAGAGGTTGTATGTCGGTGACTTGGTGTAATCTACTACTGGTCTTAATGGAACTGTGGGTTTATGTATCTTTGGTCGACTGTTGAATCTTGAAGGTACATAAGATTTTGGTTTCAGTTTAAACCAGAGAGAATTTTGAATTTCGGGTTTCACTTCTTGAAGGAGTCTGTTTGTATTTAGTTTCATTTTGTTGAATTCAACAGATATCTTCCTTTCTTCAATGAGTAAGTATGTTCCTTCAGATAGGTGTTCAATTGCCTTCTTTCCATAATCAGTCCTGTTCATTATCACAGTGACGTTTCCCTTGTCTTCTTTTCTTATATTGATGCTTATGTCTTTCTTCAAATTTCTTGGGGCTTCATATTCTTGTTTGGTGAGATTAGATGGTATGTTTCGTTGTGTTATGAATAATTGTGATGTCATTCTGGCGTACACATTGTGATTATTTATTGGTGAACTGCTGTAGAGCGGATTCGATTATACCTGCTGAGATTCTGTAAATTCCGGTTCAATAATAACACTTTGATAAAGCTATTAACAGCATTAATTAGCAATATCGTTTTGTTTTTCATTCATTGGGAAGTACAAAAAATCTTCATAATAACAATAAATAGCGCTTAAACCTTTTCATCCAATAAATGATGCTGTTTCACTTTGTGATATATCCAATAAGAAATTTATGTAGACGTAAACGGATTAAATTCTGCCTACTTCAGTGATTACTTCAACCTCCAGGAGTAGGACACAAGTAAACTCTTTGCACTAACTTACTTTCAGCGGCAAGATTGAAAATTTTAAGAGTTAGCCAACCCAAACATAACTCAGACTACTAAATGACGGTTCGTCACAGCCTACTATGAATTGTCTCAGGATGCAATTAGTAAAATGGTTTTTCTTAGAGTAAGTCCTCAAAAACCATTTGGCATTTTACACACTATACACTTGATTCTGGACTTAAGCAATAAATAAATGACTGTGTCACACAATGACGGAAAATTTCAAAGTGAAAATTTCGCCCTACAATTAAGACACTGTCTGGGATTGCTCATCCACTGCATATGGGATTACAACAGTCTCTGTTCGAATCCCCAAGAGATGTTAGTCATCACAATATGCCTGCCCACATGTATCCTGAATGGCGTTCAAGGTACAAGAACGAGTTTATTTCTTGGTAGGGGCAGCACAACGTCTTTGATATCAGAGCATCACAATATTGGTAGTTTCTTAAACACGATGGCTTATTCCCAATAGGTCAGAAATTTGTGCTACAACAGATAAATATGGAATCATGCGACAAATTTCTTGCTCTCATCTGCTTTATAATACTACACATCCGATGAATTATATTTACATGGGCACCCGAGTGAAAACTCGATCACATCGGTTTAGAAGGGACAGAGATCCTTGTGACAGCAACAACTACTAATAAATGTGGTCAAAATGCTCGTTTCAGCCTTAACAGCATTGACAGTTCTGTCGTCTTTCTCTCTCAGTTTTATTAAAGTGGATTTCGAAAGGTTGACAGGATTCCCCATGCCCTCTGAATGCATTGGCTATTTTTATATCAGCGAATAGCTGTTACATCTAAAAAGGTATTTGTTCAAGAGTGATAACCCTGAAATGTACATCTCGGGAGACTTTTTCCACCCGCTACTGATCCTGTAGGTACAACTCTTTTTATCAGAGCAGCTTTGGGACAATCGTCAAATTTTGAAGAGGGATCGGCGATGATCTCACACATGTCGTCGATAATAATTTCACGAAGCCGCACAATAACTAAAATAGACTTAATTTCATGAGAGTAAATAACACAAAGGGTGAAACACATTTCCACATGGGTGAACCCTACGAATGTTCTGTGTGTCCGTAAGGTTTTGTGGTAACTACAACCTGTACAAGAAAGTTGATTTCAGCATTGAATGGGGTAAGTTAAGATAAGAACATACATTAAAATATCACAATTATAAAATTACCCTAACACTAACATATATGAGAATATGGAAACAATCTGCCGTGTGAAAGCAAAGCAAACTTCAAGCAATAAATTACTGAAAGTATGGGTAAACCGAACTGCGCGTATGGCACGGATTCATCATTTGTATATGATAGGTTGTGTGCTCAACATTTCACACTATACAAACCTTAGTAGATAGAATGTACTAATGTCACAACTTAGTTTATACTTTACCGAACATGTAACTGCTGGTAACAACAGCTGAATCAGAATGGTTTGGCTTTTTAAACAAAATGTTCTGCAGAACGACTTGTTAAGAAGACTGAACGTCACAATAACCTCGAAAGAAGCTTTCAGGAACTTGTTTGACCATTGTAGGTGAACTATGAAGTCTGGGGTCGTATATGTTACCAAATTGAAGAAAAGTGTAAAATAGCGTCCAAGCCTGGTTGGAAAAACACACCAAAATAAAACTTCAACAAACTAAAGCACTCTCGAGTCGGCCAAAGGTTTTTAAAGCCATAACTTACTTAATGCATTTTAAGCCCTATTTATATTCTGGTCCAGTGAGATATGTATCAAGACTGGCCTTTACTAGAAAGCAGATAATTTCTGCAGTTACTCCTTAATTCTCTGAAATAAAGTGATTCCGCGGACGTTGGATGGTGAATATCTGACACATATACACCAAGAATATTCTTAGTTGGAAATTTCCACTGTAGATAAAAACCCTCACCGACTCACGATTAATCATAGTCACATTTGTATTTCCCAAAAAATGTTATATCATATTCACTATAATCATCTAAATTCCAGTAATACACAAACCACAAACAAACCATTAGGCGATACGCTGATTTGGTTGGATGATATTTTTCTCATCAGATGTTGAATGAGTTCAAAATCCAATTCACAATTAGTATAAAACTTGATAAGATTAGAGTGAGAAATACACTGCTGAGAAACAAAACGTAATCATGATCTCCTATTCTGCGTTGTTCGTGGTTGTTTTTCTCCTCAATAATCCAAGTCGGCGCACTCTCGCTATAGTCCCAAAACCAACAGTTTACAACGAATCTTCAACAGCCTGCAACCTGATGCAAACACTCACTTACGAACACAACTACCCAACATGCTTTATACTCACAGACGCACTGAGAAGATTTCGTCTCCGTCTTGCATCACAGCACCCACCAATTCCTCAGGAAAGCAAAGAGAAATGTATCATTAAAAAAATGAAAATTGAAATCATAGATGGATGTGATGAAAGTGCAGATAAACTGTGGCCGAGTCATATAATGAACGAATCATGTGAGTCACAACACAAGAAGTATTTCATTCACCACTTTGCAGATAACGTGAAGATTGAAGATACAGAAATCTCGATAAGTTCGAAAGAGGTTTGGGGTGCACTACGTGCCCTTGAAACTGTACTTCAGATGGTGTACAGAGATGAATTTGGAGGAGTGAGTTTTGTTCTTGTTGATAACTTGACTACAATAATATATTTCATCTAGAATATGATATTTAAGGGTTCTGTGGAAGATGAACCATTATTCTCACATCGTGGAATGCTCTTAGATACCGGAAGGAACTTCATACCAGTTGAAACCCTACGGAAGACAATAGTACGATATGTGATGTTCAGCATAGTATTTTCTGTTTTCAGGATATCATGGCTATGGTTAAAATGAATGTCCTTCATTGGCATATCACAGATGACGAATCGTTTCCCTTTGTCTCAACCACCTATCCAGAACTGTCAGACAAGGTAAGTTGAGTGAACTTTCAGGTGTTTATTAATTCCGATCCTCGTCTCAATATCAACAGGGTGCATATCATCCACAAAAGTGTACCTATGATGAAATCGAGGTGTCTGATTTATTGGAATACGCTCGTCTCCGTGGAGTCCGGATCATTCCAGAATTTGATACTCCAGGTAAATAAGTTTGAAGACATTTGGTATGATGTAATTATCCACCAATTGTGTCCACATGAAATGATATTATGTAAATATTTGAGTCAGTGTGATAGTGTTCTCGAAATAATGTCGCGAATGGAACGTTGAACCATGAATTCGGCAGAGGCACTAGGTTTGAAACTGTAATGCGGATTGTTCATGATATTATATTTTCAGGTTTATGAGCTCTGAGATGTGATGAAGCGCATTACGCCTGCGTTACTTGACAGTTTCATATTTGACGAAAGACTTTATCGCTTGTCTGTGGAGAAAACACCACAGTTTTATTCGGATCATTGTAGGTTTATGGTTCCATTTATTCTTTTTCAATCGCTTTGCATAAACCAGCAAACGTGATGAAGATTTCGAAAGGCAAACTGCTTGAATATCTTCAGTTGAAGTGTCGGTAAAACGTTCAAGTGATTGATCACTGTATTTTAAGTCGTTCAGATTATACTTGATAGAAGGAGTGCAGTTCGTGTAGAATCACAGGAAACGAAATAACAATCGATTGAAAATGGTGAATGTTCACTGTTGAATAGCCATGTCACTTTTCATCTAAGGAATATTGTCGCTCTGAAAGTTTTCAAAGTAATGGTTACTGAATAAAGAATACTCTTTTTGACAACTCTCTCTTTGACAACTTCATCATCAGGCTCTACAGTTTTATTTGAAAACGTTTATATCCCGATACGAATTTAAAACAAGCATTAAAGGTTATTGAAGCAGGATTCAATGAATTCATCAAATTTCCGTAGAACTCGTCAACTGGATACTCTACATACACGAATATATATACTTTTGAAATTACATTGAGAGATATAACATTCTTAAGTAAACAAACTACATAGAATTAGTCACGCAGAAAGACAAGTGCTAACGTTTTCCAGGTCACGTTCGAATAGATAAGGAGTGAGAGAGTATGAGAGATCAAAATTAAGATGAATTGCATTACGCTTCATTTATATCACTTAGATAAACAATTATGCATTAGAGAATATGACAAGAATTGCAAACAGAGTAATATCAATAGTAATAGTTATAATAACAATAATAATAATAGTAGTGTTGAAGCGAGTTAAGATAATGTTACTGATAAAGGGTAGTTTTAAATGAATCAAGAATAATAATGATAAAAAAATAGGAGGTAGAATAATAAGTAAAACGTTGAGATTATCGAAAACAGTATTCTGTGTTCAGTAGCCATTCTTTTGAAAATTTTAATGTGAACTTGTAGAAGTTTTCAAAGTAATGTTCACCGGTTGTCAAAATACTTCTTTGTAGCGCATACATTGTCATGGGGAAAAGCATGTCCAGACTTACTAACAAAATGTTATCAAGACTCTAAGCCAACTGGACAATTGGCTCTACTGAATCCAGCCAATGATTCTACATTCGAGTTTTTGAAGAATCTGTTTACAGAAGTCACAAGCCGATTTCATGATAATTATATTCATCTTGGAGGAAATGAGATAAATTTTGCCTGTTGGTGAGTTTACTCATATTTTATATCACATTTCATTGAGGAGACACGCTAAGACATCCAGAAATCCTCAAAGAATTCTGACGGAAAACGTTTTCTTGTTTCAGATGAATACAGGTTGAATTCGTCTCATCTAGCACACTTTATCACAACTTAAAAGTTATATTTGTTTGAATCTCAGCCAAATTGAAATGAATGATTCTCATGTTTGTTCGCCAGACACTTCCAAAGCTCTTGAGGAAAATAGTTGAAATTAAAATAATAAAGGTATATATAAAGCGAACAGTTTGTCTGTACAACTCTTGTCCAATCATCTCTGAGTCACGATTAGACATCAGAAACAATACTGAATGCATTGTAAATGCCATTTGACAGAATAGTTGAAAAAAGGTCACAGTGAACTGGTGTGAAGTAAGGGAATCTGAACTAAACAATTTGCATGTGAATGTGAGAATAATTGCAGATCATTTTTGTCAGCATATTTCGAATAAAATGAAACGGCGTTAATGTTGGGGCAATTGTGAGTCATTGATGTTTCATTTGGAGTCTTCAGTTACACATTTCCCTAATGAAAGCACTGACAGTTTCAATAAAACATCAATAAAACCTCACACTAGTTACTAGTGTCTAAACAAACACAAACATATTTTATCTTATAAGATACGCACGGCCAGGATCATAAACTAGGCATGAAGATTAGTGATTCATATCTATACTACTAATTGATCAAGACCTGTCATGCATCAAAGCAGATGTGACGGTATCATCCTTACTAACTTATTGATATGATATCCTTCCATATAATACCATAAAAAGATAGTGAAACAAATCACTCCTGTTGCCGCATTATTTGTTAGCTGAATGTCATACACGACTTCACCAGGAGAACGTCACTTCACTTTCAGACACGAGTACGACTTACATGAACTAGTTCACTTCCATGATTCTAGTATCACAGATCTCAAAGAAGTTGAAACTAAGTTGGATGTTAAACACCTTGCATTGTGTCTTTCCTCCAATCTTTCTTGGTATTTCTATTTCAAGTTGGTTTGTAGAAAAATATTTCTTTCAACGTTCTACGTAAAGAAATTGAGACAGTCTGTAACTAGTGAATCCTTACTTTCAAAGTTTGATATTTCATGTATGCTGCCGAAAACTCCCTATTGCTCCACCTTAATATCTCTTGAGCTACTTAGGGAAGACTTTATCACACGATGTAGGGCACCAAATGTCGTCAGTAGGGTGAGTGGGTTGTCACTAAACCAACTTGTTAGTGCAGTTATAGATCGACACATGGACTCATACGAGAAATTAGCAAATATAATCTTGTTGGACTCCTCGCGTCCTCTCTATCCAAAAACTATCCCTTTGCGTTTATCAGGTGGAATCGGAAGCAACTATGGAAGACTATATGCTCGAAAGACTAAGTATAAAAACTTCACATTACCTTCACTTCATTTTATGTAGTAAAAAAAGTGTAAGGCATGGCACTACTAGTTTACTGAGAAACATTAGGTAGGTAAACGGCACTTCTAAACCTTTCCATCATTAATATTTTGATCTTAAAGTTTCTACTTCAATCTTAATTTTGTGTTCTATATTCTTTTGAACAATATTACCAATATGAATACCCTGTTGAATTATTTCTACTTGCACTATGTAAAGAGAGAATTAGTTGTAATTCTTGCTTTACTACATGTACTACTGAGTATTTCTGTACTCGTCGATTTTATTCTCCTCCTTCCGATGAGTGAAACGAAAAATCCTCAACTGGGTTTTCTGTATAATTCGCGTTTCACTTATACACTCACAAATATGAAGTGAAGAAATGATACATCTGAAGGCGTTTCTACTTAATCTACTGGGTCTCTACAAAATAGTGTGCTATGCCCATTCAAAGGTGGTTAGCGGTTGAAGTGATTGAAAGAATGAGACAAGTAACCCAGTAGGAACGACGTATTCTGCATGATTTTTAAGGCGTTCTTTATCTACCGGATGATGAATGCCCTTCCGTGTATCTGACTAGGGTTCTCCACTTCACTTGTCCACTGCTGTTTTTTCGAAAATAGACATTCAAAACGTGAATTTGTCTTCTGCAATAATGCAAGCCATCAGTCAGTGATTTGGATAACTATTTAGATACAAAATTCGGTTTCTGAATATCACTGACGAAGAACGTGGTAAGATTAAACTTACTGTGTTTTTTCATAACAGATAAGACTTTATTTTGATAAATAACACAGTGCTATACAGTGATATTAACTGATTATGTTTCGAGCACAAACTATTGCTGGTAATCATATGAAGTCACTCACACAACTTTGTGTTCTTTCCTTTAGGGTTGGGAATCCAGAAATAATTGAATTCATACAAAAAATGGAATTCCCTGGCAAATATACCCAATTACTGAACTATTACGTGTCGAAAGTTGTAGAAACTGTCAAAAGTGTTGCTGACGCAAAAGTCAACATTACACCTATTTTATATCAAGACGTTTTGAATTACGGATATCAGGTAAGTATTGAGAAATGTATTTTGTAATAATTGTTTTGTCTAGACACACAACACTATCAGATGTGTTTATTTCACAAGGTGGATTGTGGTTCAGTAAACGCCTATTGTTCATAAGCATTTAAGAGTATTGCCATAGCTTTATAGCCTTGTTTGTTCACGGTGACTCTTTCTTATTTCGTGATCCCTTTGATGGAAATATTTCTCATATTCCTGTTATTGGTGTTGTCTTATATCTATTGGACGTATCCGATGTCGGTTAGTTTCATCGACGGCGATTGGATGATCAACTGTGAGTTGTTATCTGGTTTTCTGGCTTATCAGCCACTCCTTAACCTTTAAAAACAGAAAGGTTGATTGTTAGGCTGGAAACCTCACTGTTTAAAAATATTAACTCATCACTACGATAACTTTGATGTACAGAAAAATATGAAAAGTAAACTCACTCCTTGCTGGAATATAGAGGAACATTTTTAGGATGAACTGCGTCTGTGGGTGGAAGCCTTCACTAGCCCACTCAACCTAAGTGTCACCTGTCGAGCATAATCATGAGGACACGAAGTGTTCTCACCCTGTCTGAGGTTGCTGAGAACACAGATTGAACCAGGTGTTTTATGACACCGTTAGGAATCTGTGAACACAGGTGAAACGGAATTGAAATCTTCAAATTCACAGCTGTAGAGTAAGTAATCTAGTCAAGTCACTCAGATGACAACAACAACTTAGGTGAGAGCGTGTAAATCACATTATTACCGAAAACAAAGAAAGCTCTCATGCAGTCCATTTTCCTTATTTGATGCTCATGTGTCAATGCGTG